AAACAGGCAGCTGCTCTATCCAGCCAGGAGACAGTCCTTTCATGAAAAGTCCCTGACCACTCAGTTCCCCAACGACAGGCCTACTCACAACATTCCAGCCAAACTAATAATAATAATAATAATAATAATAATAATAGTAATAATAATAATAATAAATTATTTATACCCCACCCATCTGGCTGGATTTCCCAAGCCAGACTGGGCGGCTTCCAACAAAATATTAAAATACAATAGACCTTCAGATATTAAAAGCTTCCCTAAACAGGGCTGCTTTCAGATGTCTCCTAAAAGTCTGGTAGTTGTTTTTTCCTTTGACATCTGGTGGGAGGGTGTTCCACAGGGCAGGTGCCACTACCAAAAAGGCCCTCTGCCTGGTTCCCTATAACTTGGCTTCTCACAGCGAGGGAACCACCTGAAGGCCCTCAGCGCTGGACCTCAGTGTCCAGGGGGAATGATGGGGGTGGAGACGCTCCTTCAGGTATACTGGACCGAGGCCATTTAGGGCTTTAAAGGTCAGCACCAACACTTTGTGCTTGGAAACACACTGGGAGTCAATGTAGGTATTTCAAGACTGGTGTTATGTTGTCTCAGCGGCCGCTCCCAGTCACCAGCCTAGCTGCCGCATTCTGGATTAGTTGTAGTTTCCGGGTCACCTTCTGTGATGGCCTGGGATTAGGACTCGGATGCTGAACCTGAGGGATCCCATCCTGCACAGGATTCCCCACTTCCAGAACCAGCTGAGCTGGGGCTGGGGCGTGAGCCTGAAGGGTCCTCACCTGTGCTGGATCCTCAGGTGCAGGCATCAGCTGAGTCTGCTCTGGCTACTGAAGTGATGGAGGACCCATTGCCTGCAGGTGCTCCACTCTCAGCCCCGTCAGAGGAAGCTGAGGTTGCCTCTGGGTCCAGTAACCCTCCAGCCTCTCCTGAACTGCAGAAGCTCAGGGCAGAGAGGCAGAGGGAACTAAGTTCACGCAGGAGGAGTGCTCACCTCCAGGCCAGGAGAGGTGAGTCACCTGAGGATCGGGGCCGCCCTGTGCCTCAGGCAGATAAAAGCCAGCCAGCCCCAGTCCCAAGTTGTGAGGGCAACATTGTTGGTTGCGAGTTCCTGCCTGAACCCTGTCCTGCTATTCTGCCTGAGCTCCTGACCCGCCCTGGCTCCCTGCTTGCATGCCTGTTCCTGACTTTACCTGACTCCCTGCCCTGCACCCAGCTTCAGCTATTACGGACTGCCTCCATGTTGCACCTTTGACCACAGACCAGACTTGGACCTCGCCTCTCGGGTAACCCACGGGACCAGCACACCTTCAAAGGTAGCCCTACGTAGAGCACTTTGCAATAGTCCAAAGAAGAGATAACTAGAGCATGCACCACTCTGGCGAGACAGTCTGCGGGCAGGTAGGGTCTCAGCCTGCGTACCAGATGGAGCTGGTAAATAGCTGCCCTGGACACAGAATTGACGTGCGCCTTCATGGACAGCTGCGAGTCCAAAACGACTCCCAGGCTGGGAGCACAGTTACCCCATTCAGGACCAGGGAGTCCCCCACACCTGCCCACCTCTTGTCCCCCCAAAACAGTACTTCTGTCTTGTCAGGATTCAACCTCAATCTGTTAGCCGCCATCCATCCTCCAACCGCCTCAAGACACTCACACAGGACTTTCACAGCCTTCACTGGTTCTGATTTGAAAGAGAGATAGAGCTGGGTATCATCCGCATATTGATGAACACCCAGCCCAAACCCCCTGATGATCTCTCCCAGCGGCTGCATATAGATGCTGAAAAGCATGGGGGAGAGGATGGAACCCTGAGGCACCCCACAAGTGAGAGCCCAGGAATCTGAACACTCATCCCCCCCCCCACCACTTTCTGGACACGGCCCAGGAGGAAGATGTGGAACCACTGTATAACAGTGCCCCCAGCTCCCAGCCCCTCTAGACAGTCCAGAAGGGTGTTATGGTCGATGGTGTCAAAAGCTGCTGAGAGATCTAGCAGAACTAGGAAACAGCTCTCACCTTTGTCCCTAGCCCGCCAGAGATCATCGACCAGTGTGACCAAGGCAGTTTCAGTCCCATGATGCGGCCTGAATCCCAATTTAGGCACACAAGCCCTGTGATCCACCGCTAAGGCTGCACGCCTTCCCTGAACAATATTCTCCTGACTTACCATGGGGCTGGATCAGAAAATAATTTCCCTCCCGAAGAGCACATGTGGCGGCAGCAAGCAGACCTCCTCTCCACAGAGCCAAGGTGCACTTGCTGCTTCTGCAAGTCATGCAGGAATAAAATATCCAAATACAGGCTACGAACAGAAAATCAAGTGTGCATAGGCTAAAATCACACAATGATCCCAGGGTGGTGGTTGTGTGTTTCACTGTGAATTTGTCTGACACCTTAGATTTTATATGCATAGTCATAAGATACTCTGGACCTACATGATCTAAGGTCCCCGCCCCCCCACTCTCCTCTTCACATCTTCTGTTCTCCTTTGTTTAGTCGTTTAGTCGTGTCCGACTCTTCGTGACCCCATGGACCAGAGCACACCAGGCACTCCTGTCTTCCACTGCCTCCCGCAGTTTGATCAAATTCATGCTGGTAGCTTCAAGAACACCATCCACCCATCTCATCCTCTGTCGTCCCCTTCTCCTTGTGCCCTCCATCTTTCCCAACATCAGGGTCTTTTCCAGGGAGTCTTCTCTTCTCATGAGGTGGCCAAAGTATTGGAGCCTCAGCTTCACGATCTGTCCTTCCAGTGAGCACTCAGGGCTGATTTCCTTAAGAATGGATACGTTTGATCTTCTTGCAGTCCATGGGACTCTCAAGAGTCTCCTCCAGCACCATAATTCAAAAGCATCAATTCTTTGGCGATCAGCCTTCTTTATGGTCCAGCTCTCACTTTGATACATCACTACTAGGAAAACCATAGCTTTTACTATACGGACCTTTGTTGGCAAGGTGATGTCTCTACTTTTTTTTTGTTGGCAAGGTGATGTCTCTACTTCTGTTCTCCTACAGTCACTTAAAAACAAAAATGTAATTATTTGGAAATCTGGTTCTTCGAAGCAAAATAAAGACCATTTGCACAATTTAGAATGATTGCACATATTTGCCTAATTTAGAAAGATTGCAAAATGTGGATCTCCTTGGTGCAGAATTCAGATTAGGGTCAACCTCATGAAAACCATCCATTCTCATTTATAAAACTATAAGGATGGTTCAATGAGTAATCATCTCTCTTATTATATACACTTATACAGACACGGCTATTTCCATCATTTTTGCCACACTCTAGAGTGATTGAAAAACAAGAGAATGCCCAGAACTGAGGACAGCTTCAAGTCCCAAATCCCTATGCCCAGAAAAGAGAGCTGGTGCTGGTACTGTGGTTAGACTGCTGGACTAGGACCTGGAAGACCTGAGTTCAAATCCCCCCACTTGGCCATGAAACTCACTGGGTGGTCTTGAGCCAGTCACTGCCTCTCAGCCTGACCTACCTCACAGGGTTGTTGTGGAGATTAACTGAGGGAGAACCATGTATGCCAGCTTGAGTTCCTTGGTGGGAAAGGTGGCATATAAATGCTATGAAATAAAAGAAAGAAATCCACCTTTCTTTGAATATTTGCAAGGTCGCTCTGGGGGTGGGGAGAGAGAGATTGCATAGATTTGTCCTAGTCCACTTCCCCACAGTGACTTTAAGGAAGCTTACAAAGGATGTACGCAATAAATTCATCACTATTTTAAATCAAGTCTGAAATATATGCATTTTTATATTGTTGAAACCTACCTTGGGACCTTACACTGAAGGGTAGATAAGAAATCTAAATAAATGAATTAATCAGTAATAATAAAGGATCCCCCAAATCACAAAGCCATGATGATGAAATGGTAACATTGCAGAGCACATTTCTTGATTCCCAATGTCATAGATATTAGAGGAAAACAGACAGATATGGTGATCCCTATCCCTACCTTACCATGCTTAATGCATCCTTTCACTTAGTTAAATGAAGTTTGTACATCCTTGCATTTCCTTAAGGCATGTAAAATTTTTCCTTAAGGCATGTAAAAAATGTTGAGAAAGGTTGACAATACAGATTCTGTTCACCCTTATATGAAACATGACATACCAAATCTTTCACCTAGAAATTCACTGCAACTTTTCATTCCGTACTTTCAACTCAGTGATTTGTAATCAGTTATCTGACATCATGGTTAGTCATTGCTTTATCCCTATCTCTGGAAGAGTAAAGGAGGACCTTTAAGGGGATTAAGAGGAAGGAAGCTGCTCAAGATGACACTGTTAATGCCACTTTCTCACACAGCAAGGTCTCAGGTGTCAATGCAACAAGAGGCAGGCACACTGCGAATATGCTTGGAACTTCAGTGAAGCTGATGGTTGGAAGAATCAGAACAGATTATGATGATGATTGTGATGATGATGATATTTCTATTTATATGCCTCCCATCTGACTGGGTTTCCCCAGCCACTCTGGGCGGCTTCGAACAGGATATTAAAAACACGATAAAACATCAAACATTAAAAACTTCCCTAAGCAGGGCTGCCTTCAGATGTCTTCTAAAAGTCAGATAGTTGTTTATTTCCTTTGACATCTGATGGGAGGGCATTCCACAGGGTGGGCACCACTACTGAGAAGGCCCTCTGCCTGGTTCCCTGTAAACTCACTTCTAGCAGTGAGGGAACTGCCAGAAGGCCCTCAGCACTGGCCCTCAGTGTTCAGGCAGAACGATGGGGGTAGAGACGCTCCTTCAGGTATACTGGGATGAGGCCATTTAGAGCTTTAAAGGTCAGCACCAACACTTTGATTTGTGCTTGAAAACGTACTGGGAGCCATTGAAGGTCTTTCAGGACCGGTGTTATATGGTCTCAGCAGCCATTCCCAGTCACCAGTACTTCTTCATGCAGTGCATAATTAAACTATAATTAAACAGGAGGAAGTGATGGCCACCAGCTGGATGGCCTTAAAAGAGGATTGGACAAAATATTATTATTATTATGTAAATGTACTGATCACTTTTTAAACAAGGCAGCTCAAGGCAATGTACAATATGTAAAGAAACACACAATACATTAGAACCAGCATAAAAGAAAAACAAAGAAAAATCTAACGGGCAATCAAATTTTTAAAAGGCAGCTTTAAAACATTCCACACAGTCAAAGTGACCAGAGCTTATTAAGAGTCAAAGGCCTGGCAAAAAAAGAGAAATGTTTTTGCCTGGCACCTAAAGAAATGTACTGATGGTGCCATGTGATCCTCCCTGGGGAGAGCATTCTACAAGTGAGGAGCCTCTTCTTGTGTTGCCACCCTCGGGACCTCCTGGGGGGCTCCAGTGATGATCTCAGGGCCCAAGTCAGTCCATGTGGGGAGAGGCAGTCCTTGAGGTATTGAGGTCCTGAGCTGAGGCGGCTTTCTGAATTGTGAAAGAGAAAGAAGTGGCATGGGCTCAATAATTTGCAAAAATAAAATAAAAAATGAACAGACTAAGCGGACTCCATGAAGTATAACCCTAAGGTGACAACGCAGCATTTGGGGGTTCCCCTGCCTTCCCCACCATTTTGTATCCAGACTGATTGAGAGCTCCAGAGAGACCAGAAGTCTTCCTCACTATCTTGTGGCAATTGGGCTGCTCCTATGTAAGCAGTTGTGCAAATGTGGATTGAAACCTGTGGGCCTTCGCTGGTGAAATTTTAGAAAATGGAAGGAAATTTGGGGAAATGGAAGGGATGGAATGAAAGTGGAGGTCACTGTTATTCTATTAATTTGGGAGCAGGCTTGGGGAGGGCGGGTGATAATAACCCCTGAGCTTTATAATTCATGAATGCACTTTGGCTTGATGCTTAGCCAGATTTTTTGACTCCATGTCAGACTCTGATTCTGAGAAGTCCCTCCCTGTGCTCCATTGCCATGTCTCCCTCACTTTAGCATCAATTTGTATCTTTAAGCAGGAGGCATCCCTCTTAAGGTTAATCATGTCTCTCCCCCTCCACCCCTTTTATGTTTACTGTGGAGATTAATAAGGAACTGCAGTGTAAGGAGAATCTGAAACAACTCCTTCTTTATTGTTTAATTTAGGGAAATGCCATGGACGATTGAGTTTTAGCCTCTCCTTTGCTACAGTTGCTAGAACAATTTGTGTTGGGGATTAGTTGAGCTTCACAGCTTCTACCGCAAGCCCTATGCTGACCCTTTGTGGAATGCGCTGAATCAACATAACTTTTTTAAAACATGCCTTTTAATAATAAATAATAATATTATTATCAATTATTATTATTATTATTATTATTATTATTATTATTATTATTTATTATTATTATTATTATTATTTATTATTATTATTATTAATTATTATTATTATTATTATTATTTATTTATTTATTTATTTATTTCTACCCCACCCATCTGGCTGGTTTTTAAAAACACACACACCACCACAACAACCAGATCATTCTTCCACATTGCCAGGACCTCTGAGCAAGTCTCACATGGAAGTAGCTAAACAGAAAACATCCCATTGAAACAAATGGGGTTACATTTTATTACTTTTCTTTTGGCAATGGGATTTGCAGGAACAGAGCAGCCCTGATCCTGACTAGGACCACAACAAAGTGTTACATCCTCCTATATGCTCAGTTTACAAACTGGATCAGGAACTCTGCATCTGTAATTTGTGAAGGGATGAAAAAAAGAAACCTGCACAGAACTGGCCCTCAGCTGACTATTGGTACCAGATAGAGTATCCCATTCCTGTCACTGAATGGGCAAAGTGCCCAACATTATGATGGGCTGCTTTGTGTGGAGGGAATTGGAGCTTAGATTTGTCAAGGAACCCTTATCAGGGAAGGTGGATCTGCACCTTGAACTGGTCTGATTGAGTTTGGGATTTGACCAAATTTGGTACACAACTCTACTGCATACTGGTAGCTATATCTATATATCTATATAGATATATTCACACTTTCAAAGACTACAGGCTAACTGGCAATTTATGGAACATAAATGGGTTCACATTATCCTGTGCCTCATTACACCAGTACATTGTAAAAAGTCACAATTTCTAAATGAAAACATGGCCTGCCCATTCTGGTTCTCACCATATATGTAAGCTTAACCAGGCATACTCTGTCCCAGATTCTAGATATACCGTACATTCTCTCATAGCTGGTGTTCTCATCCCACCCACCACCCACCTCCATGCTGAGGTTTTTAGAAATAATAGTTCCAGGAGCAGTTAAGAAGTGTTGCATTAATTCCCTGTCCTCTCTTAGTACAGCTTCTTTAACATATCTGAGTAGTGAAATTAGAAAATCCACGCACAAATTATACTTTGCCTATCTGATTAAATCATAGTTTGTTACAGTTTTGTCTTTTTTGTTTTGTTTTTAAAAAACTTGTTCTTGCCTCCTATCTGACTCAGCACCTGTTTCCCCCGTCCATGCCTTTCATGGCTAAGTGTCCCTGCTCTTTCCATCTCAATCCCTTGGCAAGTGGCTTCCAAGAAAAAGATGGCAGGAGCAGAAGCAAGGATAGAACTGTCAGAGAAAGGCAGTCAGCCAACAGCTGCTGCTCCCCTGTGTGTTTGCTTGGGATCCCCTGCTGCTTTCTCTGCAGGCCTTCTACAATTTCCATCCATCAGAGTTCGGCTTGCACATGTGGCTCCCTTTAATGCAATTAGTGCATCTATCCAGAACAGGGCATCACAGTGAGAATAGAAATGTATAGATAAACATTTTCCTCTCTGATAATGCCATGGCTACACGGTGCAGAGTTAAAATGGAAGGGCAGCACATCCAGGGCAGACAAAGCAAAGCCATTTCCCCACAAACACCAGCTCCCACAGCCTGAAAGCGAGATGAGCACCGCAACCCCATAGTTGTCTTTGACTGGACTTAACCATCCAGGGGTCCTTTACCTTTTTACCTTTTACCTTGTTTAGTGAGTGGAGTTATAAATGGTGAGTTTCTTTTGCCTGAAGATTTGTAGATACTTAGAGAAATGCTGTTTTATTTTTATTTTTTGTCTGAAGCCTTCCAGGCCCAGTGGAAACATCTGCAAAGGTGACAAATTGCTGCTTTGTTTCCTTATTTGCAGCACAAATGAATAAAAATCCATTCATATCACATGTGCTTGCAAAGTCCTATGGCAAGCAATCCTGTCATGGTCATCATTCATTCACACTCCATAGGACCTGACCTCACAGTGCTGCATGCACAAATCAATGTGTGCAGACTTCGTGTGATTCTCATGGGGCAGGTACTTTGACTGAACATGGCAGGTACCAGAGTAAGGGGGGCACATATTGCAAGCAACCAAAGTTCTCAATAACACATGTTTATCTGGTGGTTCCTCTAGGGCAGTGGTTTTCTACCCCACTGCCCTAGAGGAACCGCCCTCCTCAGATGTCCTCTTGCGTCTCTGCCTCCTAAAGCTGCTTGTTGCAAAAGCCCTAGCTACAAGCTCCCCTGGTGAATGGTGCCTCTGGAGCTGGCCAGGGGCCCCTGTGGGGCAGTGTGAGGAGGCACCTCTCTTTGGGGCACTTGGATTTGCTACCTTCTCTTCTTGCCTAGGTCTGTGGCTTGGAACTGTATTAGAGATTCTACCCACACCTTTGTGGCAAGTTAGACAGATGGCAAAGAAGAGTCAAGAGACCCATATTATCCAAGGCCCCAACCCTAACTTTCAGACTTTTGATTACCCCCTGGATATATAAAGAGGGGCTAAGCAAAAAGTCTCTGGAAGGTGAATCTAGATCACTCTTTTAAAAAAATAATTATAATTTTCTCTGGAAATGCAACAAGACAAGAAGTCTGAAGCCCAAGTGCACATCATCCTCCACTACCACCCAAAGATGTCTCTTTTTCCTATTAAGCCAACAAAGGTGCTGCTCCTACCCATGTGCTGGGCAGGTTGGGAAAATATTAGTTGCATCCCATTGAAGGGACAGAGGTCAAGATACTGCACATGTGTGGTGAGCAGGATGCAACATCCAATCAGAGGAGGGATTCAGGCAGTCTTAAGAGACTATCTCCATCATCCCCTCCCTTTGGGGTGAGACTGTCTGCTGTTTTCCTCAACAAGGATGTTAGCTGCCATGAAAGATTTATGATCAAGTCCCCATCATTCAGTCTTGGATGGGTTCCAAGACTGAATGGGAGCTGTGAAAGTGTTTGTTCCAATGAGTTTCCCTGCCACTCTTCAAAGCTGAGGTGGAAAATGCCCAGCTACTTGTAAGAATCCTGGCCTGAAGGGAGGCGCTCCACCTTGGCAGACAAGTGCCATCTTGATATACTGCGTCTCTGCAGGTGACATCACCAAACCCACCTTCTCATGCTCTGTTGGAGAAACAGCCACAACTGTCTCTAATAGTCCCTTCTGCTGGTGAGGGAGAGGCAGCTTCCAGGACTCCATCCTCACCAGTAGATTTGGGCACATCTAGCAGCAGCGAGTGTGTGTCCAAAGGGCTCTGTTCTGTAGTCTCATCTTCCCCTTCAGTAATCCTCCTCAAGAGTCCAACTGCCAGGGATCCTTGAGCTGCGATTCCTGCATTGCAGGGGGTTGGATAAGCCTTGTGGTCCCTTCCAACTCTACACTTCTATGATGCAGTGAAGTGGTTCCCACTCCTGATCCGAATCAGAGCAGCTCTAGTGACAGCCCCAAGAAGCAGTTAGGGTACGCTCGCCAAGGAAGGTACAAGAATCACTGAGCACATTGTAAAATGCCAAACATTTGCATCACTCCCCACAAACTGCTAAGATCTCCTCAAAATGGCAAGCAGAGCCCTTTTTGCTGTAAGTATATCGCCATCAGGAGACTTTCCAGTTGCAGTCTTGCTCACTTGGGGGCCGTTCCCCAAATCTTGCCTGAACCAGCCCCAGGGGTTCATTGAAGGCGACGTGGCAGCAGGTGGTACATGACCCCAGTCAAGCTTGCAAAAATATATCATTTGCCAGATAATAAGTGTTGGAAATGTAAAGAAACTGAGGGAACATTCTTTCACCTTTGGTGGACGTGCCCAAAGGTTAAGGCTTTCTGGGAAATGATCTATAATGAACTGAAAAAGGTATTTAAATATACCTTCCCTAAGAAACCAGAGGCCTTTCTTTTGGGCATCGTTGGCCAAATGGTGCCAAAAAAGGACAGAACTTTCTTTATGTACGCAGCAACAGCAGCAAAACTACTCATCGCAAAACATTGGAAGATACAAGATTTGCCCACTCTGGAAGAATGGCAGATGCAATTGATAGACTATATGGAATTGGCAGAAATGACTGGCAGAATCCGAGACCTGGGAGAAGAGCTAGTGGAAGAGGACTGGAAGAAATTTAAAGACTACTTGCAAAAGTATTGCAAATTGTATGAATGTTAGAATGATGCAGGATATAAAGATAATATGGTATTAGTGATATAGTTGAAAGGAGTATGTAAAAAATGGTTTAATAAGAACTAAGGTGAAGTTAAAATAATATTATGTCAAACTTAAATAAATTGATAATAAAGGGAAAAATTGGAGACATAACAGTTGAAATGTATAATACAAAATAAGATTTGAAAGAAGGAGAGGCATTGCTGAATAAGATTGTGTAAAAGGAAACACAGAAAAGGGAGATGTGAGGGAGTCTGGAAGGAGGGTTATGAGAACAATAACTAAGAAATTGGTTTTTTACGTCTTTTTTATGTCTTTTTTCTTTTTCTACTTTTTATGGTGGGTTTTTTACTGTGTTTTTCTGTGTTTTTTTATTGATTGTGATGGTGTTTTTTCTTTTTTCCTACCCTGTTTTGAATGTGAAGTTTGTTCTATTGTTTAAAACTTTAATAAATATCTTTAAAAAAAAAAGGCGACGTGGCAGGGTGTAAGCAGGAAAACAGATGCTCCATGTGTTTCGACAGCATGCATCAAACCAGGCTGGAAGGCCCTTTATGAGCCCTCCAAATGCCATTGGCAGCCCTTCAGAATAGGGAAACAAAACTTTACCAATTTCTAGCCAGACAGCTGTAAAAGATACATTTTTCAGAGACTCAATTACAAGACACATTCAGGAACAAGAAAGAAATGGACCTCTAGCATACACCACCAGATGCAATTTCTCCTAAATGCTATCTGTTACCAAAATTGTTAGACATTTGACACACACCAGAGGAAGGACAAGACTTCCTTATGTCATTTGGTCACCTACCAACACAACATCAAGCTGCCCTCCCCACCCTGAACATACTAACTCCACTTTCTACCTTTCCACTCTCAGATAAAAGCTTTGTGAACCTTATGAATAGGTTTCCCTTGAAGTTTTGCCTGAGACGATTGCTTTCCACCTTCAGGTGACATCTCCCAGTTCAGCTTGGTGAAAAGGCTTTTAATAAAAAGAGTTTCTGCTTTATTTTAATTTAAAGTCACCAACTTAGATGGCTTTAAAAGGGGACTGGACAAACACATGAGGGATCAGGCTAGCAATGGCTATGAACCACAATGGCTCGGCTCTGCCTCTCCAGTCAGAGAGAGCAATGTTTCTGAATGCCACTTGCTGGAAACCACAGGAAGGAAGGCTGTTCTTGTGCCCAGGTGCTGCTGTCTGTCTGGCTTCCCCTAGGTGTCTGCCTGGTCGCTGGATGCTGGAGTGCATGGGCCACTGGCCTCATCCAGCAGGCACGTTCTTGTGATATCTGACACCTTTTCATCTATTGTCTCTTGTTTTTAAAAAGTAACTCATCGCAACAACCCCCTTTTTTGCTCCACCCTATTCACTTGTGTGCATCGTTAGCTAGATATATATGTTTCTCCAGAGCCAGCATAGCATTTATTTCACAGAGATATTTCAAACTCACCCTTCATCCTAAAGATCTCACAATACCAACTGATGATACTTTGGCAGCCAGGAAGGGGATGATCTGTTAAAGTGAACCATCTACCTGCCTGAACAGTATAATGTTGCAGCCACATTAAAGAACCACTTCTAAGAAAAGTGACAGCAAAGTGTTTTACTTCAAAAAAGCAAACAAACCCAGCAGAATTGCATTCAAAGCCAGTGTGAACAAGTTAAAGCACAAAAGTGAGAAAAAGCAGAAGCAGGAGAAATCGGTCCACCTCTCCCAAGCACTGCAAAAGATGCCACCTAGTTGAAGCTGGCCCACTAAATTCCACCCAGGAGCCACTGCTGAGAAGGTTCTGCCCCACATCACCCACATCACTAGCAAGGGCACTTCAAGTATTGGGGGAACATGACTGGTGATGTCACAAATGAATGGGTGCTAGAAGATGGCTGTTGTTAAGATATCTTGGCCACAAATCCAGAGCCCAAGTGTGGCAAAGCAGTTCAAGTGCCAGACTAGGACCAGGAAGACTAGGGTCCCAATCATCACTCAGCCATGAAGCTCACCTTGGGCCAGTCACTGCCTCTCAGTCTAACCTACCTCACAGGGCTGTTGTGTGGATTGAATGAGGAAGGGGAGAACCTTGTACAGCACACCAGCTTGAACTCCTTGGAGAATAAGGTGCAATATGAATGCAGTAAATAAAAACAGATGAATATACCCTTAAGAATGCAACATAATTCAGTCTATTGATGTGACACCCAAGAAGAACTCCCAATAATATTTTCACCTTCTGAAGTTTAGAGAAGCAGGAGAGCTTAAAACATCCACTTGAGGTGAGATCAGGTGGTGGGTCACTTAAAGGAAAGAAATAGCCAAGGAACAATTGTGCAAGCTGAGGCCACTGGATGAATTTTTATCATCAGGGCAGAGCTCACGCTTTGCATCTGGGAGGTCTCAGCATCAGTATCTGGCATTTCCAGTTAAAAAGGATTCGACAGCAGGTGATGGGAAATTAAAAGTTAGAAAGGATTGGACCACTGCTGCGAGTCAGAGTTGACAATAGTAGCATAGATGCACAAATAACCTGACTTGGTCTGAGGCAGCCTCCTATGTTCCTTCAGCAATCAAGGTTACCAAAATCTCCCCAGCATCCCTCTGCAATGAGACAATAACACAGGGAGTGTTGCCACATTTTCTGTTTGGTTGTTCCTTTGGCAGCTATGTGACAGGCAGAAATCCACCAGCAAGCGATACTGTGGCAGAGAATAAGCTTTATCACATGGTGGGGAGTTGTTGTTGTTCTTTGCCCACCACCCATTAAACTTTAGGAGCTCTGCCAGCCCTAACAAAATTGGAGTCCAAGAGTAGCCAAGCCATTAAAGACAGACAATAGCATTCCTGGAAGGAGCCACTGGCACAAAGCAGTTTTCCAAGAGGCAAGAAACAGAAGAGGAAAGCTTGCTCTTCCTCTTCGCCTGCTCTTCAGGCACCACCACAGATTTCCCATCCCCACCTGATCGCTGCGTTTGAGCTATGCTTAATCAATTTTTCAGAAGGAGCTATTCCATCATGTCAGATCCAGCAGTCTAGATCTCTGCCTCATTCCACCCCCACCCCCGTGTCCAGGGCTTCCTTTGTTCAGCATTCAGTTCTCTCCATTCCATCACCCAAAAATACACAATGTATACACACCCTGTTTTCAATATAATAATGCACAGTTGCTAAGAATGCTCATACAAGTAGATGTCTGCTCAACAGTCCCATAAGGTGGGTGAGTCACATTATCAGCTGCCAATCAGCTGTGGGGTGTGTGTGTGAGGGCTACCATTAATTGCACATGTAAGTGCATTAGGGAGGGAAGGCACCCTCCCTTATTTTTAGACCACAGATAATGCTCTCTTAAGAGCTGTTATACTCATGGTCAACTCAGTGTTCTTTTTCAAGTAAAGTCAGCAGATTTTACCCACTAATCATCTATTAAATGAACACACGACACAGGAAGGCAGAAAGGCAAGAATGTCATGAACTCCTTTGCCATGAAAGTGGTTGCTTGACCCCTGCACAAATAGCATCACCCTCCATTACTCTGGAGCAGGGACAGGGCATATATTCCAGCTGGAAGGCAGTATTCCCTCCTGGTCAACCCTTGGGGTGGGCAGGCATATGCCAGGGGTGGGCAGGGATTAAACCACAGGCTAGTTCACACACGCTGGCACAACCCATCCAGAAGAGCCAGAAGCAGCACCACAGGCAGAAGGACACATCCAGGCGGGCAAATTACACTCCAGGAAGGTGCCAAGCAGGGCAGGATGGGGCGAGTCCTGGGTACCAGACAGAGATGCTTGAGGGGCTGCGTACGCAGCACTAGGACCCTCAATGCGGCTGGATGGGCATCGTATTTTGAAGCAAAGGATGCAAACACACATCACCATCTAAGGAGGAGTCCCCAGCAGACCAGAGTCTAAGATTTCCTATCCACACCACTGTTTTCTCCGCGTCAGAGTAGGTTCAGGGTTGTTGTAGCCTTGATATTGAATACAGCCAAGAGCAGGCCTGGAAATCCACCCCCACCCCCACCCCCACACACGCTGCAGACATCAATGCCAGGAATCACAGAAAAGCTGTGTGCAGAGACTGAAAAGGCAGTGCCGCATAACGGTTAGTGGGAAGAGCTCTGACAAGGGAGAGCAGAGTTCAAATTCCCACACGCAACCACCAAAGCACACTGGGTGACCTTGGCCCAGTCACTTTCTCATACTTTGCTGCTCTAGGAAAAGGGGTACTGTATCTATATCACTCTGCGTATGATTTAAAAAAAAATGATTCATAATAATAAATGAAATCCTGCTCACAATGTTGGACACTCTTGCTTGAATGCAGCACTAAAAACTCCACAGACAGAACAAAACAGAAAGCAGCCCTCAAGGAAAGAGCACCTCCGAGCATACGCAAAGCGCCTGCCCTTTCCTAGTTAGAAACCAGATCCCGCCCCCGCTTTTCAAAAGCAACATCTCCGGATCGCAGGGCACGCGGCATTCTCCCCCGCCGCCCCTCTGAGGTCCGCAGGCACCCAGCTCTACCTGGGTTTCACCCACCCGTCTAATAAAGCATCCGGACGTGGAGCCGCGAGAGAGGCACCCCCCCCCCTCCGAGCGATCCAGCGCCCACCCCGAGGGGAACGTGCTACTCACCCGGCGCCACCGCCTGCCGCGTCTCTCCGCGGCCCCTCGGAACGTGGGAAGGGGGCAGCGGCCGCGGCTTGGCTTGGATTCCCGCGGGCTCGGGCAGGACGGGGGGCGGCGAGAGGGGCCGCCAACTTCTCCCCTGCCTACGGGCCCTGCCCAGAGAGGAAAGAGCTTCGCTTGCTGGAGCGAGAAAGCGTCCCCGCGGCGGAGCCTGGCGAGGCTCGCTCTCCTCCAGCTGCGATCACTGGGGCGTCGGCTGCCTGCGCTGGGCCAGAGCCCGGAGCCCGGCAGCGGGGACAAGACAAGGCGCCGCCAGCTGCGACGAAGCGCGCATCCTTGCCAAGCGCGGCGGCGGCTCTCCGGCTTTCCTTTCGCCCCGCACCGTCGGCGGAATCCCTCGCAGCTGGGAAGCCCAAGCGCCCTTCCCGGGATCCGCCAGAAGCTCAGCTAGCAAGAGGAGCCGCGCTCCGGCTGCCTACATCTCCCCGCATCCGTCAGCCCAGGAGCAGCTCCAACCCGCGGCTGGTCGTCGCCGCTGCCGAGGCTGCGTGGCCCGCGCAACTGGCGGCTCGATTCCCCCTCTCGGCTCGAGCGCGCAGGCACAGCCTCTCGCAAGCGGCCGATGACATCAGCCCGAGAGGCCGCCGCTGCTTTGCCGGGATGCGGGCGCGGAGGCTCCCAGTGGCGGGTGGAGGGAGCTGTCGGTGCGGCTTGCAGCCCCGCTGAACCTCGGCGAAGAAAGGCAGGTGCGCGCCGAGGTCTTCTGCTGGTGCCTCTTGCGAGCAGACGCTCTCGACCGCCCTCGTCCCTCCCCCTCTGTCCCCCTAGGCGCCTTTACTCGGGAGTAAGCCCGGCTGACTGTAGGTAGAGAGGCAACCGTGTTTCGCACGGTCTGCCGTACGTAGGACTGGCTCCCCACCGAGAAAAAGTAGTGGCCATGTCCAAAGGGCAAAGGGCTGCTGGCTTTCAGGGGAAAAGTTTGTTACCTTGAGGTCAAAGTGGTGGACCTGCAAAAGGTAACAGAAGCAGAGAGCGCGGTCGAGGAGGCCGCCAGGGATTTCATAGCAGTGCCACACTCCGGGGAGAAGGATGGTCTTGGGGAAGGAGAGCGTCCCCTTGAGGAAGAAAGAAGCATTACCTTAGAAAGGGCCCATCCTTTGCTGGAGAGTTTTGCCCTTGCCTTGTGCTCAGGCTGGCCAGTGTGAGTAGAGGATACTGGATGGGCCATGGGCCTGATCCAGAAGAGCTCTTCTGATGTTCTTGTCTGGTTCTTATGTTCTTGTGGTTGCATCACCCTGCTTTATTATCTGAGGGAGTGGTGGGGCAGGACGTCACCTGGAAAAGGGGGGGGAGTTGCCTTAGACCAGGTCAGACTGCTTGCCTCTTTCAGCTCAACTAAACTGGGTGCTCCAACCGACAGCATCTGGAGAGCCCATGGGATTTGCGGCCCTGGCCAACTCCCAGTAGGCCACTCTGTCATTTGACAACTGCAGAATCACAGAATTGTATAGTTGAAAGAGTCCACAAGGGTCACCCAGCCCAGCCCCCTGCAATGCAGGAATCATTTGCCAGTACGGGACTCAAACCCACAACTCTGAGATTAAGAGTCTTATGCTCTACTAACTGAGTTATCCCAGCTATCAGCTCCCATCATCATCCACATTGGCCAGTGATTGATGGAAGATGGAGTGTGCAATGTTGGTGATGACAAGCAAAGGTGGAATGGGAGAGCCTGGGGCCTTCAGTTCCCATCATGCTTCCCCTTGGCCAGGCTGGTTGGGGCTGGCAGGTGAAGGAGGCTGATCTCAGCCGGAGAGCCAGAAGTTCGCAATCCCCAGCATCATGTCTGGTGACACCTTGAAGACTTAACACACTTATCATGGCACAAACCTGCATGGACTTCTGTGCACTTCATCAGAGGAACTCAAGAGCGGTGGCTGCTTCACCCATGATATACCACCAGGTGAAAGAGCCATCGCACTATGGCCCTCATACCGGTCCTGAGAGATGTATTGATACATTGCCCAGGCCTAGTCAGGATGATTAGTTGATGAATGAAGGGTGGCTCATTTGTGGAGACCTGCTTTGCATGCAGACATTTCCAGGTTCAGTGTCCCACATATCCAGTTAAAAATATTGTGAAGCAAGTGACAGGAAAGAGATCCTACAATCCAGGAACAATGGGAGTCAGAGCCCAGCAACATTTGGAGAGCCACACATTCCCTACTCCTGGAGTATTCATAGGAGCACAGGGTACCTTCCGTCCACTAAGTCAGTTCATTGGTCCATGCTGCTCTGTATTGCCCACAATGACTGGCAGCAGGTCTCCAGGGTTTCCGGCAGGGGCCAGAGATGGAACCTGGGGCCTTCTGCATGCATACCAGGGGCTCCATCACTGAGCTATGGCTCTTCTCAAGGTAGCAATATCAAAAGCAACATGATGGCCAGAAACAATTGCAATGTGAAAAACTTTATGGAATAATTCAAAACATCAAAACTAACAAACTGAAGTCTCTGAAAGTCTCTGACTCATATTTTGCAACACAGGGGTTTATTTGCTCATTGTCTTCCCAAGGTAGACAGGAGAGTGCTAGTTGAACAAATACGCTCACAGGGTTCAAGACAGCTTCTGGCACAATACTTTAGCTTGGTCAGTGACATGCTACTTTTCCAGCTGCGCAGAACTCAAGGGGCCCATTCAGGCACACAAACCACTCCTCACTTTCAGCTCCCTTTAGCCATGGGGAAATCAATGGGCGCTAGCATGGCCATGCCTCCTTCTGCCCAATTAGGCGCCACTTGAGCAACCCATTCACGGACACTGCATACTCATGCCAACATGTTTGACCTTCTGAATGCCACAACGCTGCCCTCGCTCTCACACAGGCAGATGAAAGGGAATGCTGACATGTGCAAAGTGGTGGGCATTGGGAAAATAACCCTAATTACACTTACACAGCGCTGGACTCTGAACTAGCTATTATCACTCAAGAAAGATGTCTGGGAGTAATTGCAGATGGCTCCCTGCAAACAACGCAATATGTTTCAGCCTCAGGGAAGAAGAGCAGTAAGAACACTCAGAGATATTAGGGGAAGGAGAAAGAAAGCAATCTGGGCCTCAGGGAGGGGAAATTGCATCTGTTTTTAGCTTGATGATGCGTTCACACCCTTGAACACTGGATGCAATGGAAGGATCTCTGACTTGCTTCACTCAAAGAAAGGTTAGGGACACTGTGGCTTCCTCCAGATCCAAGGAGGTGCTTCTGCACATAGCGCATAGTAAACGATGGAACTCCCTCCCACAGGGATGGCTTTCAAAAAGGATTGGACAAATTCGTGGAGGAGAAGGCTATCAAAAGCTACTTCCCATGATGCCTGTGCTCTGCCTCCATGGTCGGAGGCAGTGCTTCTGAATCCCAGTTGCTGGAAACCATGGGCTGGAGGAGTGCTCTTGTGCTTAAATCCTGCTTGTGGGATTCCCAGAGGCATCTATCTGGCCACTGTGAGAACAGGATGCTGAACCAGATGGGCTACTGGCCTGGTCTGGTGGGCTCTTATTGTGCTATTTCTCATACTTGGGTTTGTGTCTGTGTGAGTCTTGTCAGGGTGGGGGGCGGGGGCAATTTGGATCAGGATCACGGAAAGGGCAGAGGCTTAACGTCCCACCGCCATGCCATGATCCTGATCCAACTTGCTCCCCACATAACAGCCATTGGTTTAAAAAAGTGAACCACACAAGGCCAAACCATGTGACAGGGTGAATTCGGGGGGGGGGGGTCAGAGCCCAAACCTGTTTTCACTGTAACTCTTGTATTGAACTTTATATATTTATTTCATAGCATTTATATATTGCTTGATTGCAAAAGAAACCCTCAAAGCAGTTTACCAGAATAATAAAATGATAAAATTAATGGTAAAAAGACTTAGGAAGAACAATTTAAAACATTTTTTTAAAAAAATAAGAATAGGCCCACACTACATGAAAAACATATTTAGATTGTTCTTTTGTTCTTGTAATCACTATGCTTGTAACTCTGCCATACTTTCTAAGTTGCTCACAGTGTGTTTGATTTGGGTGACTAACAAATCAACTAATGAATGAATGAATTGGCCCTGAGTCAACAGAATCCAAGCATCACTTAACAAAACCAGTGCTGGGGTTTCTGGGATTGATTCCTGTGATGAAGGCCCATCACAACATCTATTGTGGCTGGTTGATGGGAAACCTTTTTCTGCCTGAGGGCCTCATTCCTGCTTAGGCAGCCTTCTAAGAGACCAGAGGCAAGCAGTGGATGGAGCATTGGGTGAGGGGACTCTTCTTTTACACCAGTAGCTCTATTGTGGCCCCACAAAAACCAGGTTTCTACTAGGCTACTGTTAATTGCTCTGAAATGATCCCTCCACATCTTGTGTTGCTTGAGCTCCAACGCTGATTGGTGCAGCTTTTGGTCCATATGATTTACAGTAATGGTACACATTCTGAAGCCGTTACGCTGCCAGACATATGCAAGGAGGAAGTGACATAGCTCAGGGACAGAGTATATGCCTTGCATGCAGTAGATCCTGACTTCTCTGCATCTCCAGGTAGGGCTGGGAGAGAACCCTGCTTGGAACGCAGGAGACCTGCTGCCAGCCAGTGTAGACAATACTAGGCTAGATGGACCAATGGTTCCTATGGATCTTCAGCTTTCCATCCTCCAGTCAAGCAGAAGTACTCAAAGAAAAGTGCAGAGCAGGGCTGGTGTAGTCTGGAGAGAGGGGGCTTGGGTTGGGGAGGAGGCATGGTCAAGGGGAGGTGGTCCTAAGGGACATATTGAGAGGCATGGAAGGCTCCCTGCCTCTGGATTCATGTATGCAATTCTTCACAATTCCCCGTCCCCCAAAGTCAGTCATAGATTGTCTCATGCATCCTGCCTTTGTTTACAGAGTGACCTTTCAGCGAAAAGATGGCACCATGCGTGGCTGGCTACTTGGCCACTGCAGTGCTCTCTCGCCCTCACTCCTCTAGACAACAGGCACAGCAAGGCGCACCAACTTTAACTCCAGATAACATCTGCTGTTGGTGACAGGCGGAGCATCATCTTGGCCTCACCACTGCTCTTCCCCCAGCACCCTTCAAACTCATCCCTCTGGATCGAGATGTCTTCCCCATCTGCCACCTTGGGGACTTGCACTGGAGAGATCTCCCCCCAGGCATCCTAGTTATGGGAGAGAGAGAAAGAGAAAAAGAGAGAGCTGGACAGTGCAGACATTTCTCAAGATGTTCCCAAGCTTTTAGACAGAGGAAACAGGCTCATATTTTGGGACAGCCAGCTCTTTCAGTGTCAGAACACATTTACTGTTTGCTTGTGTGGAAGATTTTATATACTGCTTGTTCTCAAAGTTAGTGGAGATCGGCCCATGAGGGCAAACAAAGTGTCGCCCCACCAACCTTGGCCTCCCCCTATCTATCTTCCTGCCTTCTCACATTTAAATAAATTAAAAAATTGTCCAGTAGCACCTTAGAGACCAACTAAGTTTGTTCTGGGTATAAGCTTTCATGTGCATACCCAGAACAAACTTACTTGGTCTCTAAGGTGCTACTGGACAATTTTTTAATTTATTTCAACTCTGTCAGACCAACATGGCTACCTACCTTAATCTTCTCACATCTAGTTCAGGAGCTGGCACTAGCGGTCAGCTTCCTCTTTTGTAGCTGCCTTTGTAGAACACAACTGGGAGGCTTTGTCCAGGGGACAAAGTGAGAACTGTTTACCCTGCCTGTCATCCGCCTACCATGGGCATTACCGATCCCAGTGGCAGAGACATGGCTGCTCCTGGCACATTCTTCTTCCCTCAGGTGGCTGGACAAAAATAGGTAAACTACTTTATCCCAAGTCACAATATTTGCCAGTGTAGCCCTTCCTTGTCTCCTCTAGTTGACTCCATTTGGCTTTGACTGGTGGATTGGGACTCACAAAACACAGGTTGCAGCCTGGCATGAGATGGGCTGAAGCAGCAGCAGCCCCTCCAGGGACATGTATGGTGTTTGGGTTGGCATATAGCTTT